CTTTAAAAGGGTATAAAAGGAATACCTTATTACTAGGGAATTAACTATATAGATAGAGGGGTATAGAAAGGTAAATTTTACGATAAAATTACTTAACGCGTTTATATAAATTGTTTAATAAAAAAGGGTAGCTTTTTACTTATAATTTTTAATAAGCCTAATTTCCTTCTACTTTCTTTAAGAAAAAGGAATCTTTTAGGATATAATAACTAAGCCTATAAATCTAGTTTAAAAGAATTAAACGATTAAGCTTATTAAGGAAAAATCCGGTTAATTTATTCTTAAATTCTAACTTATTTTTAAGATAGAATCTCTAAAAAAGTTAGCTTTCCTTAGTAAGAGAAATAGGTCTACTATAAAGGACCCTCTTTTAGTAGCTTAAGGAGATAGTCTTCTTTAATATATATAACTTAATTACCTAAGCCCTCTAGCTTTATATATTATAAAGTAAGTAGAGGTATAGGCTTAGGTACGGTCTATTAAAAGAAGGTTAATAATCAATAAGGGGGAAAAGAAAGAGAAGTATAGGCCTAGCCTATATAAACGCGGAGGCCGCTTATATATAGACTTAGCCTAGACCCTAGTTTAGGCCTATATAGGGTAAAAGCCCTTATATTATATAACCTAAGCTAATAATAAGGTATTTAAATTAAGAGCCTAAAGACTATTAAATATAAATACTATAGCTAAGAAAAGAAAGAGACGAATTTCTAAACGAACCCTTTTATAGCTAGACTAGCTATATAAGGAAATTTAAGTCGACTAAACTAACGTTTCTAAGAACTAAGAAAGCATTATTAAGGTAATATTTTTTATAAACGCTTTTTTAAGGATAGTTTTCCCTTATTTCTTATAGACCTACCTAAGTAAGTATAACTAGTTTGCCCTTTAAGACTTTATTAACTAAATAAAATCCTATATTAGCTATAAAGTAAAGAAGATATAGTTTAATAGAGATCTATTTATAAAGGATATTATAAATTAGCTTTATAATAAGAGTATTTTACCCTTTTTATTAGCACTAAATACCTAGGTCTAAAATAGAGTAATAGAAAGATTAAGGGGTACTATAATAGAAAGGGCCTATATAATAAGACTTAATATAAAGCTTCCTTATAACCTTTAAAGGGAAGTTATTAAGACCGCCTATTACTTATAAAACTAGACCCTTAGAGGGACTACCTAAGGAATAAACTAGAAATCCCCCCTTAAGCTCTTTATAAAAAAGAGGGCCTTACTAGCCTACCTTTATACTTATAGCTATAAGGTATATACTAGAACTACTAATATATAGCTAAAAAGAAAAAAGAAAGGAAAGCTTAATTTTAAAGCCTTTATTAGTTACCTCGTTAGCTATAATTCTATAAATATCTTTTAGATCTAGATTCCTTTTATATAGAGGGTTATTTTAACTAAGGATATAATTTTCGATAAATTTAGCTTTTTCGATAAAAAGAGGGATTAATAGCCCCGTTTACTCTTATAACGTTAGCTAATTTAAAAGATCTAAATCCCCCCTTCTTAATAGTCTTAAGAAGAGCTCTTAAATAAGGAAATAAAAAAAGAAACTAACGTTAAAGTAGTTAAAGACAACGCTAACTTTAAAGAAAAGGAAGCTACTAAATTAAATAATCTATATAAAGAAGGAGACTATAAGAAAGTAGTATAGCTAAAATACGTTTACCTCCCTATACTTCCTCCTATATATAAAGAAGATCTAAAAGTAGCTTTTTTAGTTAGTTATCCTATCTTAACCTTTAAGGAGGTAAGAAAGGTACCTTTCTTAAAGGATTACCTAGCTACTTTTTTATCCTTACTTTAAGAAGTAAAGGAAGGTATAAGGCCTAATATAAAAGAAAACTAACCTCTCCTTTATTTTAACTGTTTTTCTAACTTTTATCTAACGCCTATAAAAAATAGTTCTTATAGAGTATTTATAGTAAGCTAGCTCTTTAAGCTATAGCTATTAGGAAGGAAGGTATATAAAAGAGACCTCCTAGACTTACTAGTAAACTAAAAGTAGCTAGAAAAACACCCCTTTAAAGACTAGTTTTTCTAGGCCTAGAAAGATTACTTAGCCTTATATAAAAAGATAGAGTCTTTTAAAGAGGTCCTTAAGAAAAAGGTAAGAGGAAAATAAGTCCTTAGCTATAAGTAGGTCTTTATCTATAAGACTAATAAATATAGCTTCCTTTAAAAGTATAAAGCCTAGCTAGTTATCTATAGGAATTAATAGGAAAAAGGGGATCTACCTACTAAGGCAACTACCTTAGTAAGGATATCTTTTCGGACCCTTATAGCTATAGTAGTAGAATTCGACCTCGAACTTAATTAAATAAATATAGTTAACGCCTTTATTAACTACCTACTTAAGGAAAAAGAAGTTATTTATATATAACTTCCTCTTAGTTTCTAATAACTAAGAAAGGTTTTATAGCTTAGGAAAGCTTTATATAGACTATAAAGATTACCCTTTCTTTAGTAATAGTATTTAATAGGTTCCCTTAAAGCCTTAGGCTTTAAGAAAGTCCCTTAGGAACTATATATAATATAGAAGGGTAAAATCACGGTCTTTTTCTATATTAATAATATTATCTAAGCTTACCTAAGAGAGGAAGAAGCTGTTATAAGGGAGGCTATAAAAGGCTTATAATAAAGGTATAAAATAACTAGGCTAAGGGAGCTAAAGTAGTTCCTAGGGATTTAAATCCTTTAAAATAGGTCCTAATAGACTATCTAGCTTACTTAGGACGCCTATATCGATAAGGTCGCTTATAAATTCCTCCTTAATTCCCTTAATAAGAAGCTTCCCTTTATACTTATATTAGATAAAAAGCTTTTATATAATCTATCCTTTTAAGCTAGGGAGTAAGAAAAACACTAATATTAATAAAAGGTAAGCTCCTTACTTTTCTTAGCTATTTCTATTAGACCGGATATCTCTTTTACGGTCTCTTAGCTAGCTAAGTATAACTAAAATCCTAGCCCTAGGCACTAAGAAGTAGTAGACTAAGCTATCCTTTATCTCTATTTAACGAGATTATATAGTTTACGCCTAAGAGGGTAGGGAAGGAAACTAGCTACTAAAATCTTCCTTTATTTAAGCGATTCGTCCTTTATAGATAATTTATTAAATAGAAAGAGCTTATAGGGGTATACTATATCCTTTTTTAAAGGAACTATTACTTAGAGAGCTTCAAAGTAAGCTATTATTACTACTTTAAGTATAGAGGTAAAGCTACTAGCTTTTTTAAAAGCATTAAAAAAAGCGATTTTCCTTAGCTAGCTACTAATATCTTTATAATTATAAATTCTATCCCTATTAGCTATAGAATATAATAATATATAAACTATATAAATTCTTATAAAGGAAAATAGTAAGCTATTAACTAAGCTATAGTATATTAATATCTACTAGTATTAGTTACGCTAAGAGGTTTAAAGGGTACTTATTTCTATTTATTAAGTTTTAATAGTATTAATAAAAGTAAACGGTCTTATAAAGCCTCTATTAAAGTAGAAGCTAGCTGTCTTTTTATAGTAAATTAGGCTAGAAAACGTTTATAAGAAGCTATCCTTAAAAGCCCGCCTTAAGAGTCTATAAGAGGAGCTAATAGCCCGGACGAGAAGGTAACGTCTATAGCTAAAGAAAGGAAGAGGTCTTCCTTTTAAAGGGCCCCTTATTTAATTAGGTTTCTCCCTTCTAAGAATACCCCCTTTTTTATAGGACTATCCCCTCTTTAGACCCCTATTCCTTAAGTAGGTCTAAAAGAGCCTAGGGACCTAAAAGGGCCCTTACTTTCCTCGAGTAAAGGGATAAGTATAAAGCTAAGAACCTCCTCTATACGCTTACTAGCTTAAAGCTATATTAGCTATGCCCTTACTATAAGGGCAAGCTATCTCTTAGGGGGTATATCGCGAAGCATAGCCTAATTTTATAGTTCTTAGAGATATCCCTTAGTAAGAGGGACTAAGGAAGCTAAAAATACCCGGTATAAAAGAAGGAAGAAGGAGCTAAAAAGATATATAAAGAGGAGGGTAGGGGTAGAAGGGGAAGTAGAAGTAGCGATAGCTTCCTATAAAGGTAGCGAAAGATAAGACGGATATACCGGCAACGGCTAGAAAGGAGGGGAAAACTTAGTAAAAATCTCGGTAGTTAAAAGGATATTAGTAGCTTCTTTAAGCAGGACCTTCTTTATTAATTAAGATACTAGATAGGTATAAAGAGGGGCGTTAGATAGAGGAAAGAAGGATAATTAAGGCAATATAATAATTACTCCCCTACCGTAATTACTGCCCCCGTAAGAATTAAATATCTCTGCCCTGCCTATCCGACCCCTTACTTTTACTTTTACCTTCGTGCATTTTATATATACTTCTCATATCTCTCTACGCGAGATTTATATAAAGATCCTTTTTTACTTTACTAAGCTATAATAGCTAAACCTTTATCTTATACCTTAGTCCTTTCTTAGGTATCTATAGTTACTTTTCTTTCTCGTAAGGGGAAGTAGAAGCGGCGATAGCCTCCTATAGAGGTAGCGAACCTATCCGTCTAGAGCTATCCCGGCTGATAAAAACTAGCTTTACTCTAGCAACGAAGACTCTGCGCTATCGCCATAATATAGCGTCGTAGTCGAAATCTGAGTAGTGTTATTGTTATACAAGGAGAGGCACGGACGGTATAGATAACTGAGCGACGATAGGGCAGAAGATCCCCTGTGAATCGGGCAACGAAAGACTCTTGATTCTCTAGCTAAGTAATGATAAAAAGTTGGCTTCTTATACTTCTGATTTTAGGTTGAGTGGCGATTTCGCCACCCAGGCAGCTTAGCTGATGATGTCATCTAGAAGGTTCGAATCCATCACTAATATGACATTACGAACTGCCAGATGCCTGTTAGGCAGCAGTTAATGAGCGTCCTGATCTTGACATATCCTCCGGGCGCAATACAAATCACTATCATGATCATATCAGCCCGCCATGACTGTAGAATCCTCTAGAGACAGGCAGTCTCCTCTGACACAAATAGCTCCATTAAACGATAACGCGGAGACGAGGTATGAAAGTGAGTAATACCCTTTGCATACGCATCAAAGTTCGCATAGTACTCGGGCGCGCCGGCTAGAGCGATAAGTACGCGCTCGCGGATGCGTATGCCCTCGTCAGCCAAGGTACGCATCGCAACTAGCACGTCCACGTCGTCCCTCTGGGCGCGCATGTCAATGTAGTTTCCCTTCTCACCGGCCAACAGCTCCTTATAGAAGGAGATAACGTCGTTGACAATGTTGGTAAAGAGGATAACATCAGGGATGACTTGTACATACTTCTCGAACCCGCCCGTGCACGTGGGCAGCTTCGAGTCCGAGGCGCATGCCAGCGCTAGCAGCGCATACATGGGTGATAGCCCCGTCTTAAAGCGCAGCCAATCCGGGAAACCAGGCGTCTCCAGTTGCGAATTGGTGTCCTTGGCTAGCGACTCGATGCCGATGCCGTTGCAAAAGTCGTAGCAGGCTACGACGATCATGTTGGCAACAAGCGGGTCGAAGTGCTGCCATAGGCGTGGTATCAGCTCACGAGCGTACCAGTCGAGCACTGGGTCTCCGCATGGCTGGCTGGTGGCAACATTGAGCTGCAGGCGCCGTAGAACGTCGGGCTTATGTTCGAGTATATCTTCGGCGTGGAAGAAAAAAATGGTGAGCTGCGCTACTATGACCTGATAATCGACCGGATGTGACGGCGTGAAGTCAACTGCCACATAGCACGACAGATTGAACTGGTCTTTGGAGTTGATTAGATGCCAGTGCTCTCGGAGACTTGATGACTCCAACTCCAAAACTACCGCCTCACGGAGCTTGCTAACAGACGTCAAGCTAAGTGCATCGGCGTCTATCTCGCGACCACCCGTGACCCCTTTAACGAAGTATGATAGAGTCTCTCGGATAGTAGCGCGAGATAACTATTCCTCAAGTAAGTTCTATGTTATTAACTATATTTAATATATCGGACTGGTGGAAAGTTTAGAAGCATACCTTATTTAGCGCCATTATATTAATATGAGCATGCAGGTGAAGGGAATTCTACCGAAGATGAGATACTTAGGTTAGGGGCTAGTATCGCTTAAGGATCAGTTAAGCTTTTAATAAAAGACGAGATACTAAGGTTAGGGGTTGGTATTACTTAAGGAGCAGTTAAGCTTTTTATATAAATTATAGGAGAACAATTTCTTAAGCTAAGGAGAGGCAAAGTATTAAGATTCTAATAGCCTAGGAATGGGAACTAGCTGCGAAATCTATACCCTAAGGAGAATAGAGCTACGAATATAGTTAGGCTTAATTACCGCTAATCTAATATATACTAAACACTTAGATGCCTAAGCATAGGAATGCGCACTTTAGTAAGAAACAGCTTAACTGCATAGCTATCTAGATCCCCTTTTATAATATGCTAGTAAGCTTAGGGGCTTAGGGGTAGGAGTATAGCGAGCTAAGTAGATCTCTAAACGCTCTTAAACGTTTAATGCTCGTATGATTAATTAAAACTATAAATTCCAGTGCATAGAGTTATTCTAAATAAGCTCTAGCCTATTAAATTTATAGATATCTCTGCTAATAATAATAGTAGTAAATTCTTTATAGTACTATAGAGTAAGCTAAATATAAAGCTAAACCTTCTTTAGCTTTCTACTATCTAAAAGATATCTATAATAACCGCTAAAAGCTTTATTTTAAAGCTCTTAAAGGTAAGATAGTAATATAAGTTTTTTTAAGGTATCTTTATATAATTAATCTTTCTTATTATATTAAATATAACTTATATAATAAAAATAAGATTTAAGATATATTCTAGAGCTATTAATAGTATTACTAAATATAAAAACGCTTCCTTAACGTTCTTAGCCTTAATAATTATAAGGAAAGGTATCTTCCTACTAAAAATAAAGTAGCTATAATATATATTCCTTACTATATAAGCTAATAGTAGTATATTAATTATAGAAAGAATTCCTATCTTATAAATTTAGAAACGCTTCTTAATTTTTATACTATTATATATTAAAAGGATTACTAGTTATTGTTTATTTAATAATTAAAGAAATAGCGCCTAGCTTATAATAAGCTTAAAATATACTAAGATCTTTAATATAATAAGCCTCCTTTAAATATAAATAATGCTAGAACTAAGATACTTATAGTTATATAAAGACTATTACTAAGTCTATTAGATCTTAGGCTTATAGAAGCTTAAAGCCGGTCTAAAAATATACTCCGGTTTAGCTATAACTTTCTATAAAAGACTATGTATTTACTAATAAATAGCGAGAAGGATTATTACCTTAAAACCTCTTTTATATACTAATATACTATTAATAAATTCCGTTAAAAACTCTACCTTATATTCCTTCTTTCCTTTTATTATATAGTATTATATAATTCCTTAGTTTCTTAAAATTCTATTATTACTTATATACCTTAAGAGGTTATAAGCTTAGCTTACTCCTTTTAAGTTAGGAAATTAACTATATATAGAAACCTTTAAAATTCCTCTTTAAAAAATCTAGCTAAAGTTTTACTATAAATAAAAAAGGGATATTAAGATTATACTAGTAACTTATTTAAAGGTATCTAGAACTTTAGCGTTAAAAATAAGAGGGAAAAACTAAAGTACTTAAAGGAAAACCCTCCCTTCTTTTATAGCTAGTCTGCCTTTATATAAGGTCGCGGTTATAATATATAAAAAACTTATACTAGCTATCTTTAGTCTTATTTAATTAGTCGGAATTATATTAGCCCTACTATAAAGTAACCTTAGAAAGTAACTCCTTTATATATATAGGGTATATAGTATTAATTAGTAGTATAAGCGTTTTTAGTTAATAGTTAATTATATAATTATCCTAAACCTTATCTTAAAATAATATCTTCCTAAGCTCTACCTTATTTTTTTTACTATAAGGCTTAGCGGGCTATTTTACTTATACTAGCCTTTAGCTAGGCCGGTAGTCGGGTTATCGTACTAGGTTCGCGCCGTACTTATAGAGTTATTAGTATCGGCCCTAGGTTTTTATTTTTCCCGGTTAAGGGGCCTAGACTAAGGTTAAGTAAAGGCCCTAATAAATTCGTCGCTAGGTCTAGGTAGGCGAGGTCTAGGCCGGCTTACTTATAGCGGGGCTAGACTACTAGTATATTTATAAGCACTTTTAGAAGCGCTAATTAGCTAATTAATAAGTAGGTTAGTATAGTCTACTAGTCTAACTTAAAATTAATTATACCCTTAGCCGGATTTAAACTAACTCTAGCATTATAGCTACTAGTCCTCCTAGGTATATAACTACTATACTATAGGGGAAATAAAAGAGGGATAAGGTAATTAATTAATGCTAGCTAAAGGAAAGGGGGGGGGAATGCCCTATATAAAACTAGTAAAAATGGAGAAAGGGGACGCGTAAGCCGGACGTCGTACGGCTGGGCACGTGACTAGCTAACCACGGCGACATCCTTCCTTTTTGCATTAAATTGCCCCCTCACAAAGAAAAGAAAGACTGCCTATAGTCTTATCTAGTGGGCCGTGCGTATGGCAGGGCTGTGTGTGTGGGCAGCGGAGGTCGTTGGACTGCTTGGTCGGGCGGCGAGGAACGCGGCCGCCGTGGGCAGCAGAGGTCGTTGTGTGAGACCGGCCGTAGGCGGCACAGGTCATCGGGCCGGGCGGCGAGGATCGCGGCCGCCGCCGGCACGAAGGTTCCAATTAGGTCCCGGGGCCGTGGGTACGGGCGGAATAATCAGACGTGGCCATAGTTGATGCTTACGGCCGACGAGAGAGTCGGGCGCTTGCTAGTGCGTGCGGCCGACGAGTCAGTCGCTGCTGGTGCGGCAGTCAATTGACTGCTGCTGGTGCGGCGTGCGGTCGACGGGAGAGTCGGGCGCTGCTGGTGGGAAGATAAGAGAATAACTTCCCGTCTGCAAAGGCAGAAGTCATCCGCGGCGGTAAGAGCGGCGGCGGGCAAAGTCGACTACGGCGGCATAAGGCGGCGGTAGGAAAAGCCTCTTTAAGCTTATATAGCTTAATCTTTACTCTTATATAAGAGAGCTAGGAATTGCTACTACTTACTATAAATAAAAGAGGGATAAGGTAATTCTTAAGTAGATACTTAAGAGTATAGTAAAAGAAATAAGGGAATAGAAAGGTAAATTTAGTAATTTATATCTTAGTCTATATATTAAGATAAGAGAGGGGCTTATATAAGTATAGTAACTATATATAGCTAGCTAAAAGAAGGTATTAAGATATTCCTATACTTAAGTTAGGCTTATATTATATCCTTAAGCTAAGGGAGTTATATTATTTAAGTAAGCTCCTTTATATATAACTATTATAAAGTATAGCTTAATTTTATAGTTCTTAGAGATATCCTTAAGTAAGAGGGATTTAGGGAGCTAAAAATACTAGTAATAGAAAAAGAAAGAAGGAGCTAAAAAGAGGTACCCCTTTAGCTAAGTAAAGACTATACTAAGGTTATAAGTAAGAATACTAGCTAGTTAAAACAGCCTACTATAAAGGGTATATATTTTTATTAGTAAATAAAGCTATAATAAAAGTCTTTTATTTTTATTTTTATATTATTACTTATATATAGCCTTTAAGGCTATAGCGAAGCTAATAAGGGCCTAGGCTCTTATTAATAGTCCTAGCTAGCTATAAAGCCTAAGGGCTTATAACTAATTAAGGAAAGGGTAGCTATAAAGGTTAAGATAAAGGAAAGGTTAGTTTAATTCCTCTTATTTTAACAGTGACTATAGCACACACCTAAAGATATACCCACGCTAACGGCAACAGCAGTAGCTAGATACCGAAGGACGAGGGAGTCTAAAGGGAACGAAGGAAAAGAGAAAGCACTAGGTAGGGCAAGGCAAAGGCAAAGAGGGCTAAAAAGGTATATTAGCAAAAGAGGATATAGAAGAAGATATCGATGCTAATACTATCTGCTAGCTAAGGAGGAAAAGAGACCTCTTTTATAGACCGAATTTTCCCTCCTTCTTCCCTAGACGAATAGGGGCCAAGGGATCATCTAATTAAGAAGAGGGCTAGCCAGAGACTCTGCCAAGGATCCTGCTAAGGACCCTGCCAAAGACTCTGCTGCGCGGGCTATGTGTGTTCCTTGGGGTATAGATGCCCCCGTCAAACTCCTCCATAATAAAGAACAGACGCCCTCGTCTGCTAGGTAAGCAAGCAGGCAGGCAACAGCCAAGGAATAAAGAAATAGACAAGCAGGCAAGCAGGCAAGCAGCTAAGCAGCCAAGCAGCTAAGCAGCCAAGCAGCCAAGCAGCCAAGAAACAGCCCAACGGGAGACCAAGGAATAGACCAAGCAGCGGGCCAAGGAATAGGCTAACGAGAGACCAAGGGATAGACCAAGCAACGGGCTAATAGGCTAACTAGAGACCAACGGTGAGAAATAGCAATAGAAGAAGAAAAAGAGATCCTTATAGGTAAAGGAAAGAAGAAGCTAACGAGGAAGGTAGAGGAAAGAAATCTTAAAGGAAGAAGGGGGGGAAAGTCCTTAGAGAAATAAGTCCCTGCACATAGAAATGGGCACCCCCCTGTTTTGGGCACCCCAAAAAAATCACGACCATTTTCAACACCATTAATTCAATCCCTTCTCACTGCCCACCACCGTGCACTACGATACAATCGTCACCTATTTCTGAAACCTCAGCTTCGGTTTCATCAGATTCTTCATTCTCAGCTGCGTTCACCTCCTCCTGCGCCCGTCGTATTGCCTCAATATTGGCGAACCTCGAATTCGGGCTCGTGACCACCTCTTCCTTTTTTCGGCTTGACGGCCGCCAATTGTGTTTCCAGTGCCTGAATCTGCAATTGAGCTTTGCTAAAAGGCCATCCTTCTCGTCAAACCCTTTGTGATCTTCCTGAACAGCAATCTCTTCGTGGGCACGTCGTCGTCTAGCTGGTTGAATTGAACTACCTGAACCTTCAGATCTTGCGAGCGCCTCGGGGTCGACCACGCAATCTGGGATGTGTCTGATTGCCAGTCACTGGTGGGTAAGTGGCTATTGAATGCATTGGCCACATTTTTCGCGTTCTTTTGCGTCTGTTGCTGTTCTCCAGCAGAAGAGGGCTCAAAGTGGCTTCGCCATCGACACCGGCCACAAACCCGTCGCTTCCAGCCACCCTGATGTTTGACACAGTGAGCGCTTGCTCGCGTGCTTTGGTAGCAGGAAAGAAAGTTTTGCTTGCCGACTGGGCTTGAATCGGTCAGGAGGCTGAGAAATCCGACCTGTTTGCGGTAGTAGTGCTTAAGAGCGGAGAAGACAGACAAATCGAGCGGTTGCAACACATGAGAGGTATGGGGAGGTAAGAAAGAAGGTGAATCTGATGCTGGTAGCATAGATACATGAAGTCACCCGTCTCGTGACTTCCGTGGCCGTCAAATACTAGCAGTCTTCGCCCCGAGGGGTCGGGTGGCTGGTTTTTTGAAATGAACCCTTTTCCGAGCCACTCCACCGCAGTTTGGTCCGAAGTCCAGCCGTTCTTTGTCGCAGTGAATTGCCAGTCACTAAAAGTACTGAGATCTTCTGGGAACCACTGTTGCTGGACCGATTTGCCCTTGAAAATGACGAGTGGAGGGAGGAAGGTGCCGGCAGCGGACACGCACTCGATGAACGACGTCCAGACCCGAGAACCAGGCGTCTTCTTTTGTACAGATCGTTTTTCAGCACTGCCAACGACCAGGCCATTCTCCCCAAGTCCTTCCATGATGCCTGCTTCATCCATGTTGTACCTGTTCTCCGGCTTAATAGCCAGAATCTCGGGAAGGAAGAAATTGTTGAACCAAGGCCGAATTACCTCGGTAGAAGCGCCGTTGACACGCGCAGAGTCTCTGTGATGGCACTTCTGGGTCCGAACTGCAGGATTTCGTCTTAAAAATGCTTGCATCCAGTGTTTTCCGAGCGGTGTGGTCTCCTTTGACGGCGAGCATGCGCTGCGCGAACTGCCTGATCTGCGAGTGAGTGGGAGGAAGGCCCAAGGCGTCCTGAATGAGAATCCATTCGGTAAGTTGCTTTTCCTGTGTCTGAGAAAGCCTCTGAAGAGCAGAAAATGCATCCTTTCTGCATTCGTGACCATGCATGCGATTGTAAAGAGTTGCCCTCGGGACGCCCCAATCGCGAGCAGCCTTCTTGGCGGATCCGCCATTGGCGATTGCCTCAAGGGCGCTGTGAATGTCAGACTCTGTATATTTCATCAGTAGTGGCTTGAAGACACATGCGTCAATTTTTTAGCAGATTGGATGCGTTTCCGCGGTGAAATTTGCTGTTGAAGTTGACGCAGCCGTTTAGGTTGGGCACCCATCTTGGGTGCCCAAAACAGGGGGGTGCCCATTTCTATGTGCAGGGACTTACCTAGAAAAATTTAATCTTAAATTAAATCTTGCACCCTTTCCCCTAGGTATCTATTTTATACCTAGCTTTACCGGAATCTACTTATTTAGGAGGATAACGGGTCTTTCTCTTTATACTTAACTTTAGGTATTTTAAACGGGCCTCTTCTCGTACTTATTCGTTAAGATTGCTTAAAGGTGCCTGCCGCGTCGGCTGCTACGGACCGTGCCGGGAAAGGGCGGAAGGAAGGATCTCTTGCGTATACTATTATTGCTATCGGAAAGGTCGTCTATCACGGAAGTCGTCTGCCAAGGAAAAAGGTCTATCGAGGAACAAGCTGTCTACCGTAGAGGAATTCGTCTGCCATAGAGGAATTCGTCTACCGAAGAAGCTATCTACTATTAGGGAAAGGTCCGTCTGCTGCAAAGGAATTTGTCTGCCGAGAAAAGACTGTCTGCTAGGACGTCTGCTAAAGAGGAAATCGCTTGCTGGGACGTCTGCCGGGAAAAGGCCCGTCTATTGCAATGGAAGTCTGCCGGGGAAATCGCCTGCCGGGAAATCTGCTAAAAGGGGGGAAACAAGGCAAAAGAGAGGTGCCTGCAGTCTCTAGGTGCGTAATCGGATGGTCAGAATAGGTGCCAAGGGGAGCCGTTAGTCCGGACCGTTAGTGCTAAAGGGAGCCGTTAGTCCGGGCCATTAGTGCCGAAGGAGCCGTTAGGACCATCTAATCGTGCGGGAAGGAATAAAATCAAAGGAAGCTACCGTGCTAGACGAATAAGTCTGCCGTGCTAGAGGCGAAGAAGACTACCGTGCTAGACGAAGACTGCCGTACTAGAGGCGCTGCCGAGGAAATTATCGAAGATTGCCGAAGAAAGAGACTACTAAGAAGAAGACTGCTAAGAAGACTACTGCAGAAAGAGCTTATAAAAGACCGTAGCCGAGGGGCTGTCGAGACCGTAGCTAAGGAACCTGCCGGACTATGGCCGAAGGAGCTGTCGAGACTATAGCCAAGGAAGCTGTCGGGCTATGGCCGAAGGAGCTGTCGAGACTGTGGCCGAGGAAGCTGTCGGGCTGTGGCCGAAGGAGCTGTCGAGACTATAGCCAAGGAAGCTGTCGGACTATAGAGACTGCCAGTCCCGTAGAGCTATTGGTCTCGTGGAAGCTGCTAAAGAAGTTGTCGTATTAGCAGAGAAAGAAAACCTAGAAAATGTCCGCTGCTGCTGCTAGCGTAGGTGTCTTCCCTCTATAATAAAGACTAGACGTCCCCGTCTGCAACTAAAGCAGCTGCCGTAGATAGAGCTTGCCGGGGAGGAAAGTTCGGTTCGTTAAAAAAAGAAAGTTCCGTCTAGTATAAGGGACTCCGGCAAGCAAACATTATCACGTCTTCTCGGCTAACTTTTCGAAACCAAGCCTAAAACACGGAAAAAGCATACGCCTAGAACCGTTACGAATAGCGTATTACGCCCCCCTAAGTGCAGCCTCGTGCAGCTACTAGCGGGTGCGTAATATACTACTAAAGATTGCGAATTAGGCAAGGTTCTCCCCTATACGGGTGGAAAACTCTTCCCCGCCCTCGCTAACTAAGGGTATATGCCCCCCCCCGCTAACGGGACTAAGCCCGGACCTAACTTAGGACCCCGGCCTAGATATAAGGAGGGCCCCCTTAACTTTAACCCCCCCCCCCCTTAACTTAAGGGTCGAAATAAGTACCCTAGAGGCTAGGGCCTACTTAAAAGAAGCTCTAGAAAGCTAACGCCTTCTAAGGACCCCGGAAGAAAGGCCTAGGACCTAAGACTAAGACCTAAAGGATATTAAGATAGAAGATAATACCTAGCCTATACTAAAGACTAGCTTCTTTAAGCCTAGCTTAGCCCTACCTTAGGCTAGCTACTTCTAGCCTAACTAGCCCCTAAAGTAAGTAAAGGGGTAAAAGAGAGCTATACTTAGTAGCCTTATTAGCCCTACGCCTATCTAACCTATATTCTAACGCTCGTAATAGACCTAGCCCCGGCCCTAGCACCCCTTCCTTAGGGACCAGGCCTAGGGCTTCCTTTAGTAGGCCCTCTAAGCCCTTAAGGAAGCCTAAAAAATCGAACCCTTCTATAAGACCCTTATAAAAGGGCTCGAGAAGGCAGCTATAAGGACCTTAGTATTATAGAGTAAGTAAAGGTATATATATAGGTGCCGTTTATAGGATAATATTAATAAGCTATATAGAGCTCTTTTATACGCGGCTAGCCTACCTTTATATATATAGGATCCGGCCCTCTATACGTAACTATATAGCTTAGGCCGTAGCCTAAGCCTATTACCTATAATAGTTAAAGACTCTTATATAATGCCCTCCCTTAAGCGCGGCGTAGGGCTGCCCTATTAATAGCTCCTATATAATTTAGCCTATACCGCTAGCTCTTTCCTACCCTTTCCTATTAATCGAGCCGGCCCTACTAGCCCTATTATCCCCGCGCCTATTAGCCTAAGTAGCTAGAACCTAGCTCTATACTTATTAGCTAGCTAGCCGTTTAAATAAGTGCGTAACCTATTATATACGCCCCTAGGTAGCTAGCGGCCGGTCTAGACCTACGTAAGCCTTAGGTTACCTATCCCCTCTACCTTAGGTAGTATCCTCTACTAAGGGGTATATAAAGCGGTATCCCCCCCTTCCCCCTTCCTTTCCTTCTCTCCTTTCTTTAACTATAGTAATAGTATTAATAGGTAAGTTCCGCTCTACTTAAAGCGTTAGTCTATTCCTAGCTATATAGGCCGCTCTATTAATATATACTTATAATAGTAGTAGTAATAGTAATAACGGCCTTAATAATAATAATAACTCTAACTAATAAGTTCTATGCCCTATTAAGTAAGAGGCCGTATTCTATTAAGCTAACTTCCGCGATAGATATATCTACCTCTCCTTCTCTTACCTCCTCCTTCTCGGAGTATATAGAGTCGTTCGTCGACGCCGTGCTAGCCGCGGCCGACGACGACTCCGCCGCTACCGCTCTTACCCGCGCCGCTACCACCGCTCCTACTACCGCCGCCGCCGCCTCTACTACGCTATTCGCCCTTACGTCGCCCCTTAGGGTAACGACGCCGTCCCTGCCGCTACCCGTAATACCTAGCCCCTCGGCCCCCGCCTCTATCTCCGCTACCCCTATAAGTCCGTAGTTAGGTAAGCGTAATAGACGTTATCCGCTAACCTCTTATAGTATAAGCGCTAAGTATAGGCCGGCGCCGCCCGCTCGGCCCCCTATATATATTATACGTTATAGGAGCTCGACTACTCCGACTAGGCCGGGCGCCGCCGCGGCGGTAGCTGCTACTAATACGCGCGCGCCGGCCGCGCTTATAAGGCGGCGCCTCCCGTCCTACTCGCTACGCCGTTAGCTTAGAAGGCCGGCTTATATAGGTAGGCGCGGGGGGCTACTAAGAAGCGCCTTACCGCCGCCGCCGCCGCCTACTATAACCTCCGCGCCCTTAAGCGATAGGGCCTTATACCTAAGTAGGTCCTTACTCCTCCGCTCCCTTACTTCTGCCTTTAACGTACCCGGCGCTAAGGATACTACCTCTATCGCCCTATTAGCGGTCCCCTTAGCTATGCCCGCTTCCGTTACCGCCGCTGCCCTTATAGCAGCCGCTAGCCGCTGCCCCTCTACCTTTAGAGCCGCCGCCGCCGCTAACTAGCTTATAGGCTTAGAGAGCCGCCTTAGCGCCTTAGAGACCGCCGCCGCCGCTAATAAGAAAGAGGAGGCTAATAAGAATAATAATAATAAAGATAATAATAAAGGTAATAATAATAATAAAGAATAAGCTTAGGTAATTTAAGGGCTCTGCTTTATAATAAACGCTATTTTTATTTCTACTTATACTATTATACTTATATTACTTATATTACTATAACTACCCCCTTTACTTTACTTACTTTATAGTCTTAGCCTAGGCCGCTATTAGTAGTCTATTAGTTTATTATTCTCGCTTATTAGTCTATATAAGGCCTTAAACTTATTAAGGGCTATAGCTCCTATAAACTTATATATAGGTTCCTATATAGGGTCGAGGTACCTATACTACTTAACGAGAACCTCCTAGCGTTTCCCCCGGCTTACTTTCTTTTAGCGTATAGCCTATATCTCTTTAACCTTAAATTCGTTATCCCCCTTTACCTTAAATATAAGCGGTTAAGCGTCTACTACTTCTTATCTAAGTAGCGGGTTAGAAGAGGCTTAGTAATAAAGGTTAATATTAACCTTATTATAAACCCTTATTAAGAGACTATTAAGCTTAACTACCTATAGGCTAACGACCCTCTATACTATAAACTTTATATATAGCTAGTTTAGCTTCTTCTTTAGTCGCGCTAACCTATAATTATAAAGGTCGAGCTATACTTTATCC